CAACAGGCAATGAAAATACGATTACACCTTACAGAAGCATTTGACAAGGCAATTTGAGTTCTAGTTTTGTGATTAAAACATCAAAAAATTAATAATTTTGTGGTTTGTATTTTCAAAATTGCTTTAAGTGCAGTTTGGGCACTGCCAGCTAGAGCCCTTCATGTCTGTGTCTCCTGGGGCTTTTTCCAAGGGGAGACACAAGCCTATTTCTAGGCAAGGGTTTCTGCTGCAATACTTCCCTCCCGCACCCCTCCCGGTTCAGTTGAGGGTGGGTCAGTAACTGCCTTCCTCTTGACTATGCTAGGAAACTCCTACCCTCCACTTAGAAAATGCTGTTTAAATGGTTTAGGAGTATTCCATCTTCCTCTGGAAATTAGGAATTTTGTGTGGGAAAGTTCTGCAAACTGCGTCCATGTCTTCCAATGCATGATGGAATTCAGTTGTGCTATGCATAAAAAAATTATTGAGTCAAACACCTTGACTTCAAGAAGGTCTCGGTTATATATAAATTTTTAAGTAGCCACCTGTAGAAATCACGGCTTTGAATGAAGTATTTTCGCATGAGAGCAAAAACGCCCCACAGAAGTACTCTGTTCCACATAACTGCCTTGCCAACATGGTCCAGTGAGGCTGGCCCAATGAGTAATCATGCTAATATTTTTACTCATCTTCTCTAAAATAGTTATACTGTAATTTGTTTCCAAGGAAATACAGTTAATCTTGGCCTTAAAACTTGTCTCAGCAGCACATCACTGGAAACTGTGTGAAGTATTTCTGAATCACATGCCAGTGAATAGTTATATCGAGGTAACAAATAAAAAGATCAGCATTTAGTGACTTTACAATTGCCTGGAATCATCTGTCAAAGTCTTGGTGAATAACAAGAATTTTCACAATGCTGTTCAGTTAAGTTCTCTCTTAATCAATGCCAACCAAGCGTTCTCTGAGTAGTTATGTGGCTTTTCTCTAGAGTTTCAGGCAAGGATGGAAGATGAAGGCCACTCTTCTTTTATCAAAGTCTGTGACAGAGAAAGTATTCTTTGTTGACCTCTTAATTGAGGGTGGAATACAGTTTTAGAGAGCATACTGCACCTCGTGGCATGTATGAAAGGAGATACCAACTTAAGACCACAACTATGATTCCTAACAAAGCTTTCTCTCATTCTTTTACATGAAAACAACTGGTAGATTGTCATCAGTTAAATTGTAACATAAACCATTCTTTGCTTTTTGTCATGGGAAACATAACAGTTCAGTGTCATGGAAGTGCTATCAGTAAGATGATGAAATGAATGTGTGGGTGGGGACTTCCAGAGAAAGATGGGGCAAGTGGGTAAAGATTGGTACAAGAGGCAACAGTGAAGCTTCTTCTCTCTAATTAGAGAAAGAGTTTTCAATGAAACTTAAAAAAACAAACAAACAAACAAAAATCACCTCCTACCAAATCAGAAACAATTAAAAACAGGTTATTGGAAATAGCTTCTCTAATGAATAGGAGCAAAAAAATCCCACCTTCCCATAGGATAATCAGAGAGAATACATGCTATACCAGTATCTGATTGAGTTTTTGATAAATAAACTTTTAAATATTTAATATACCTCTTCCCATGGTAGTCACTGTACCTTTGAAGATCAGACACAAGATGGAAAATGGTGCCATTACAAGTTATTTGTGAGGACGGGTTGGTCCAGGCTGCATGAGTTAACAAGGATATACACATACATATTTTATCAAATGGATCACTGCACAGAAAATTTAAGGACAGAACTTCCAAGAATCCATATTAAAGACATTTTAAGCCCCAGAATTTCTTTCAAAACAGAGCTGATAGTACCCCGATGCCCTATATAAAAGCAGACTCTTTCTTAGATGTTGAGTATTTGCAACTCACTCTGCAGTCAGCTGGATCTGTAAATATTAAGTGAATCACTGTTTTAAGAGTCTATTTAGTACACTTTCCTTTAGCTCTAATCACTGAATACACAACTGAACTTGTAAAAGTAGCTTTTGAATGGTAAAATACTTCATTGTCAGCTCAGACTGTAAGACACTATTGCCTGTTAATGTATATTGGTCTGAAATAGGGGCATTGGAAAATCTTTGGGAAGAGACAACAAAGGAAAAATACAATTAGGAGAAATCAAATGTTTTTTCCTATGTCTGAAATGTGTATTTGTTATCTACTTTTGGACTAATACTTGGCCTTCCCACGAAGCTGTACTTGTGTAAAGATATGAGTGATAGATGCTTTGTTGTAGCTGTGGAAATTTAAACAAATTAAGCCTAGATTGACAGGACACTGATCCCTTAGGAAATTTGTTTACTTTTGCCTAAAAAATTGTCAGAGTTACAAACTTGTATGTATTTAGGTATGAATTTTTTTTAATATATAATTTCTGTCAGTTTCTAGTATTTTTGTTGGAAAAAACCCAAAGATTTTTCTTTCAAACTATATGCATTTATATGGCTTTTTAAACCCCCATTTTTCCCAACTAATATAATGTGCATTTTCCATTTGGAGGTCTCCCCTTTCATACAATATGAATGCCTTCCTTTGAGTTATAAAAATTTACAGTTCTGAATACGAAGGCACAAGTTTATATTTTTTCAGGTTGGTGTTACTTAACAGGAAGCATATATTTATAGAAAGGAAATAGGGGAGTGGGTGAACTACTTTGTAAAGATAATGAAAAGTAGAAATTCCATTCAGAACTTTATCCTGAAGAAAACAAACTACAGTCTCATTACTTTTTCTTGTCATAGATCAGAGTACTCCAAGGGTTGAAGGAATGGAGATGAGTAAATACATATAACTATAGAGAGAACACCAAGAAAATACACAGAGAAAAGCCAGAGGCATCAGAGAGAATGCACCCTGTACTGGCTTCTCTGACTACCCCTCTGAAATCTGGAAAATAGCTTATACTTTACATTAAATCTCCATGTAGATGAAGGGCAATTCTATTGGAATCACATAAATTTGGAAATGGAGACTAGAGATGAGAAGAGTCTCTTCACTGGTGTTCCTGCTGTGGACACAATTAAATGACGGTTTACCCCTTTTCCTTAGTCTTTCCCTTAGATTGTCTTTATTGTGGGTTGTCATCTTCTCAAGATTCCCCAAAGCAATTATGCACCACCACTGATTATATTTGGAGCTGACAGCTAGGCAATGGATTTTCTCCTGAGTCTTTGAATATTTCATGGAACTGATTCCTAGTTAATGTGTATTTTCTGGAAGCCATGAACTTTTAGACAATCTTACTCATACCTTTTAATTATACACTAATACAGAACATGGTTGCTACTAAGGATTTATCAAGGCTCAGAGTAATTTCTGAAAGGTTTTTTGGGGTGTGTTTGTTTTATTTTTTGGGGTGTTTTTTTTTTGTTTTTGTTTGGAGGTTTCTGTTTGGGTTTTTTGTTTTGTTTTTGTTTTGGGTTTTGGGGAGGGCGTTGTTGGTTTGTTTGTGGTTTTGTTTTGGGTTTGGGGGGGTTTTTTGTATGTGTTTTAATGTCTTAATTCTCAGGAAAGGACAATTTTAAATTCCCGAATTCGAACAGAAAGCACTAGAAGAGTTAACCAGAAGAATTAAAAAAAAAAAAAAAAAAAAAAAAAATCTTTTCCTTTTTGCTGGCAGCTTATCTACTACCTCCATCTGGATTTTAATGGCAGCTGCTACCTTAGGTTTTGTGTTCTCAAGTAGTCTAGAGAAGAAAGAAAAAGAGAAGCTTGCCTGCATTTCTGTCGTGCTGTCACCATAGCATAAGCTTACAAAACGCAGATGTTCCAAAAATGAGACAGATTCATAGAGGGAGATAAAGATTAAGGATTTGAGACATACAGATACTCATATGAACATATAAGTATATGAACACAAAAAATATGTCCATCATGTAAGTTATCATGTTGTTTTAAATATTTGTCCTTTAAAGTTAGTTATGCTGAAGTCATTAATAGAATAAAAATGTTTCTATTAATACCAACTAGAAATAATTTCTTTTCAAAAGAAAAAGCAAGAAGTTGTTTGAGTTCTCCTTTGCTGTTGACACCAATCTGAATTTGTTCAGATTGGAAGAAAATATTGTAACAAACTTAATTGGACTAAAGTTTAACAAAACCCCATGAAGTACATTGTCCTTCTCTAACTCTTCACTCTGGAAAAAAACAAGAAGGAACATTAAGTGAAGAAATGGAACTGTACACAACTAATAATAAACAGATGACCTTTCTTGCAACAACATAAGATCCTAATCAGTACTCCAACTGGAGTACTAGGCCTGGGAAGGAAGAGAAGTGGGAAAGTAACCTTATATCATCTGTTCTAAGAAGATAGAGAGAACTTTGAATCTACAGCTAAGCATCCTATAGGTTATAACTCAGTATTTGCCCCACATATGGAATTTTTAAGCCTTCTCTGCACATATCTAAGAGCCCTGTGTAGCTGATTGGAACCAGCAAACATTTAGAGTTCATTTGGGACAAAAATGAGAAGGAAAATGGGTTTATGCCCACTATCATGGGCATGCAGGTAATTACCTGCATACAAACTGCCACCATTTCATCAGACCTCCCAGAAACAATCAGAATAATATGTTTAGGCAAGTTTCTGCATTCTTTTTTGTGTGCAATAATAATAATAGCAACGACAATTATAATAATAATAACAATAACAATAATAATATAATGTCTCCTACTACCAAAGAAAATATTTCCCCTCCATGCTGGTGTGATGGCATCTTTACATGTGCCTGATGTCCACAAGAGCTCTAAGCAGTATCCTCGGAAGGCTGGAGTGTGGGGTACAGCGGACTTGTGTATTACCACAGGACAAGTTCTGCTACACAAACTGGGTGTCTTTTCTACTGGGATTAGTCTTTTGCCTTTTTTTTTTTTTTTTTCAAAACCAGTGGTGTCATGCATTTTATTCCTGCTGAATCAAAAATAACTTGAAGTCTCCCCTTTCTTTCCCTAGGAAATATAAAATGTGTTGGCATCACCCCTTCACCAACCATATGAATAATTTGGAAAGGATTTGTGTAAACTTACAGTTCTAAAAATTCCTCTTCTTTTTACAGCCCTCTGAAGATATGGTACCCTATGAGTCAGACCTCTACCGACAGCCCCATGACTATTACCAGTATCTCAATAGTGACGGAGAGAGCCATGGTGGTAAGTCAAAAAAATATCTCATTGCAGCATAAAGTCTCATGGAAAACAGATTTAGGACATACACAGAAAGAACAAATTTGTTGCTGTAATCTATACTGTATAGACACATATTTTCAAATCAGAAACCAACATTATTTTATTCTGCTTAATGGCACTGTTCCAACCCAGCAACTGCAACGTGGTTTCTCTGAAAGAGAATTTTAGAAAGCACTGTAAAGAAAGCTTCCAGGAGGGTAGGATCTCATGATCTCTATCCTTCATTATCTTTACTTTATTTTTACTTTCCTCTGCAGATAAAAAGCACTCATCTTCTTTCACAGCTCTTTGAGGATATGGATTTGCAATACCGTATTTCTCTTCTTGCGTTCCCATGTTCAATTCCTATTTGACTTAGGTCCTACATAATCTATTTGTGCCTTTATTTTAATTAGATTTCTTTGGTATTTGGCCTTTGTTAACTCCATATATTTCTTTCTTTCTTTTTATCTCTTTTGCATGCTGCCACACCTAGCTTTAACTTTCACTCTTCCTCCAGTACACCCAAGTACTTCCTCTCTCCAAAACTATGTAAAACTTCCTTGTAGCTGTTTGCATGTAAACACAGCTCAGTATAAAAATGCTGTATGATTATTTATTACTTCAATTCGTGTATGTGATTTCAAAGCTTTGGTGTCTATATTTTGATGTTTTCTGAGCACTGCACTGGACTCTAAATCAATGCAGAGATGAAGTCTTGCTTTGTGAATTTTGTCTCCTTTGAAATACAATGGTCCAGCAACACCACCCTGGAAATACCTGAGTCAATATTGACTCAGGAAGGAAAAGCACCGTTCTACTGTATTACTGGTGGCAGTCCCTGCAAATCCTGGAGTTTCCCTGAAAGACTCCCACTGATAGAGCAACAAGACCCATTTCTGTTTAATTTAACACATTAACTACTCACAGCACGGCACTGTTTTTAATGTGGCAGCAGAAGCTATTTTAAGGAACAGCAAGTCACAGAATAGGACTGTTCTGAGCATTTAGCTGAAAAAGATACCTAAGTTTGTTCTCTACATTGCATTCAAGGAACACCTATGATATTCTTAAAACCTAGAGATAAAGAATTAATTCAGTTTTTATAAGTTATCTCATGGCATCTGTTAGTCACACTAATCAAACTCAGCAAATTCCGCATGGAAATTCAGGGTTTTTACATTATACCCTGTAGCTGTTTACACACTCATAAAATGAGGATAACATTGATTATCTCAAAAGACAATTGTGACAATTAAACAATAAATATAAAAGATGCCTTGTAGGAAAAAGCACTGGGAAATAACTTTTCTGTCATTACATCTAGGCTACCTCAAGCAAAAACATCCCTTTATCTTTCATAATTTTATCATCCCATCTGGTTTATTGCCCATTTTTCTGTTGGAAGGCTGTTCCTAAGCTCCATTTCTCAGATCATTAACATATTTTTATTCATCCTAATGAACACAACAAAAACTGAGTAGACACCTATATGAGTTATAGTCTAAGCAATACCTAAACACCCACTTTGAACAGAAATTTTTCTGTTCCTAAAGTTGTGCTGCATTTGTCCAAAGACCCAAAAAAAACCCTGTTTAATGTTTTAAACTCCTACAGTAAGTGGTTATGGAAGAGGCAACTTAAGCCCAGCCTGAACATTTCAATCAAATTTTTATTTATGAAAGCAACCATGTTGTAGTTCATTGTGTCTAAATATCCAATGTGCCCTATGCTGTCCTGCATTTCTCACAGTCCAAAAAAGCAATGAACAACAAAAGAATTACAGATGGAGACTGAAAACCACAAATTAACGTATTTTGCTTCTTTCTTATAAACACTGAAAAACTGAACTTTGGCTTTCATTGTGTTTACCTGATAGAAGTAGTGGGTCTTGAGAAGAGCCACGCAGAAGAGCAGGAAAGAGACGCCACAAAATACTTTTAGAAATATGTACTAAGCATTCAGAGCAATGAGGATGAAAGCACAGTGATTGAAAAATGGAGGGGAAAAGGAATAAATAAAGTGCTGCAGTGACAGCAGTGAAAGAGATAGAACCTGATTAAATAGGTGGGGGGAAAGTAGAAATAAGAACAGAATTGTGAGAGAGGAGTTCAACTTGGGGTACAGTGAGATCACTGGCAATGCATAGAAAATAATTTTGCAGGTCACTCTGCAGTAGCACTATGGACCTCAGTGTCAAACTACCAGTTAATATAAATAGATGATACTAGACAGAATAATACTTCTGATTATGCTGACAAGGGACTGCTAAAAAATAGAAAGTTTTCCTCAAGTGTCAAACTACCTCTCTCTCAGTGCTAGCAAATTAATTTTGTGAAAGGGAGATGGCAATGTATTAATCTGTAGATCTGTGCTACTTGCATTACTGTCACTTTTCTCAAACATAGTGCTGAAGGCAACCTTTACTCCGTATTTACAGGCATAAAAAGTACACAGAACAGTGTGCCACCAATATAATATGTAGGAAATCTTTGCCAGTAAGTGAAAAGTAAATTCGCAAATGCACCATAATATGTTCATTACCTCATGCATTGTGTGCAATTATTTTGTATACTGCAGTTTAGCTATTTTTTAAATACTATAATAAACATAGGGACACAGTCATGCAGGACAGAAGCTACTTCAAGTGATCATGTATTAGTCCATCACCCAAGCCTGAGCTTGTAAGTCTGTAAATGTAACACAGCATATTTTGTAACATTATTGCAATCTTAGTCATTACAAAATTCCACTGCAGCTTTGTCTCTAAGTTTTTACTAAACATTATTGGTTTAGTAAAAATTACTTTTTGTATGAAGCTGAATGCTGACTCTTGTTCACTTTGTTGCTAGTCTCATGGAACTTACTAGATTCCATGATCTGGGGTTTTATTTTTGTCCCACCTCCTGGAGTAATATTAAGAATCTCAGCTTTGATTTTGTTAGGATCCTAGCTCACATACAAGTGGAGGAAAGTCCAAACATGTGAACCTTAGTCTTAAATGCCATATGAAAGAGAGTAAGAATTCCAAACTTCATTAAAAAATCCCCTTCCCTCAAAGCCATTTTCATGATTTGTTGGGGTCTGACTCATAGGTATCTGAACATTTGAAATTATTAAAATAATGAAGTTTGTAAAGTGAGAGCTAATGAGATCGTAATGTTATAGATAAGACTGATACCCTGCCTAGAAGCGTAGCATTTCTCTCAAAAATTATTCTGTTCAAGACATTAATCAAGACATTAATTTTCCAGTGTCCTTCAATATTTTTCTCATTTCCTCCATGGGGTTTTTCCTTGACTTGTTTTTTCAGATGTCGGAACATGTAAGCTATGCAATATGGCACTGTGTAAGAAACCCTCTCCTAGTTCATCATGTGTTGGAAAATCTGTACCACCCAGAGCAGAACCACCCAGAAACACTAGCCCAGCCCTCCCAAGTACAGCCATGCCAGCAGTCATCTCCTCAGACAGGGCAGAGTGCTGTGCTGACAGAGCTGTTACATTTCCGGTTCAATAGCTGGCTCATGAATTTCTGCATGATTTTGCACTGCGCAGTGCAAATTTAGCCTGTTACTCCACTTTCATTATAAATACCTTCCTTAAGCTTATTTCAAATTCTAACTGCTGGTTCTAACATTATTAATCTGTTACAACAAGAGCAGAGCAATTTGCAGTGATCAGAAGATAACGGAGAAAGTTCAGTTGTGTTTTCTCACTCATAAAGTGAGAATCTACCTTCATAGTGAATATTAACACAACGTCTTTAGGTCCACTAATGCTTCCCAACAGGCTAACATCCTCTCTATCATGGGAGGGAGCTCAGAATTCGTGACTGTCCTTCCTCTAACCTTTCACTACATACAAGACCAAAACAAACATGATCTCCATGTCTCTACAAAAGAGAATTTTTTTCACATCCTCTTTCACTTCACATGAAATGTCTCATAATGACTCCATTGTGTAGCTATAGCTCAGCTTTTAATGACATTTTCCTTTACCCAAAGAATAGACACTTTCCATTTCTCTCCTGTCTTTTTTCTTTCTTCCACCTTCATGTTTTAGAGAAAATAACAGAATTGCTTCATTACTGACATGATGCTAACAAAGGACATAGAAGTAAATAGTTGCTGATAACAGTAATATCGGCAGGCACAGATATTTAGATTTTTTTTAAATTTTATTTTCATGTGCAATAACTTCACCACAAAGGGGCTTCTGGAGACAGATCCAGAATTTTTCTTTTTATGTTACTAAACTAATATTATTTTTCCTAAGTATCAATGGAAAATTATAAATAATTTAGAAAGAAGTAAGGACCTTTTCTCCTGTCACAACTCGAATATTTGGACATAAGTTTGTGTTTAATTAATTTCTGACAGATTTATTTTGTAATGTATATTATTATATGATTACTTTAAGTCCTAAATGCTGTGTTAATAGTACTGTTCTATTACTGTTCTATTACTGTATTTTTACAGCAGCACCTAAATCCATCAGAAAGGAATTTAGTAATGAATAGGCTAAATTGTAAATAGTGATTAATCTTAGTACGTGTAAGTAGTGTTCCATAGGTTAATTTATTTGCCAAGGGAAAAGTTTTAAAGTTCTGGAGCAGCAGTAACCTTGTCATAGGCTTCAAAAAACTAAGAGGTATCTTAAAGTATAGAAACATGACTGCCAATAAAAGAATATTTTAGAAGAATAAAAAGTAGACCACTTGGAGCATGCGCAAATACTCATGGCTATGCATGTTGGAAATGCTCTGTGTTCTCTCTTGACTGCTGTAGTTGCTGCTAGTGAGAAATTCCACAGCTGAATACCTACCACTGACAGCCTCAGAGACCTTTCCCTGGGCTTTGCATTGATCTCATTTTCTGTTATAGATTATCAGTGACAATGGGTCTTTGGGAATATACATTGCCATCTGACAGAGCACTTTCCTCACAGTGATCAGAGCCAGATCATCTTAAGGAAGAAGACTTTAGATCACTCCTGCAGTGTATTCTCAACAATTTAGTGTGCCAGGCTGCCCATGGTATATGGGGCCTCAATGATTGGCTCTATGTAGAGAAATCTGCAGTAATTTAACACAGAAAAAGTATGAGATAGTGTGGCTCAATCTTCCAACTAAACTAAAATTTCACAATGAAAGTTCACAAAGCTTCCTACCAAGACACAGCCTTAGATAGTCTACGGATTCAAACTCACAAACAGATGTTTCCTGAGTTGGTGCAGATGTGGATGTAAAAATACCTGGGTAATTTGCACTCATACAACCCAATTTTCTACCAGAGAAACAAAAATTTTTCTCTTGCCCTACAACATACAGAAGTGCTACCATGTGTTGTAATTACCTTATGGCTAAAAAATCCATACATGGCCCACAGGAAGCACCATACAAAACCCCAAAGAAATTACAAAGTAATTCAGCAGTTCCCTGAATGCTTTCATAAGCACCTTTCTACCCCTTTCTCATGCAGTGAGGTGGTTTATCCATGAATCAGAAAAGCAAGAAGTAAAAAATAAGCACTGGTGCCATAAATCGTCGATAGAGCCTTCGAGTAAATTTCTACTGGTCTGAGCATAAAGGCAGCTAAAAGAGAGTGCAACTTTTTAGGTACAACTATTTTTGATATAAGCATATCACTGAGTTCCCTCTAAAGGAAGGCACATTCTAGTTACTCTCCTGCATTTCAAATCCTCAAGGAGATTACACCTAACTGTTTGAAACATAAGTGGGGAAGGATGAGGAGATAGAAGCTGAGAGAAAGAATGAAACTGGTATTTCAGAAAAAATATTCCTAGCACATTAGTCTCCAGATAATGTCATACAGAGTAACATCGTATTGCAGAATGAGACAATTGTTCCTCTGTAAATTCAGTACCACAACCTTTAGAGCAACATGTTCAGTTCTGTCCATCGTGTTATCAGAAGGACGTCAACAGCTGGGAGGGAGCTTGAAGAAGTGCTCAAGTAAGATTAGAGTGGTGAATATACTGATTTATGTTGAAAGACTGAGACCTAAATGCATGCAACTGGGTTAAGTGATAATTAGAAGGAGGTTGTAAGGGTACATGATAGTAACCTGAAAACATGATAGCAACCTGTGAAGGGTAGGACAGAAATTATTTAATTATATTTAATTATTATTATAATAATACAAGGGAAGAAAACTTGGAATAGAAAGGAATAAATTAGGACGGCTACACTGAATATAATAAAGACATTTCAGCCAGGCATAAATAATGCAAGGAAAGTTAAACTATGGAAGATTAGTTTCTAGCTCAGTCAGAGCAGAGGACATGATGCTGACATTGATTTTAAAAACAGGTGGCACATAAATATGTGCACAATTAAGTTTGCAGCTACTGTCTGTAAGAGAGAAACAATTTACAATGCTTCACATTTCTTCTAGAAGATTTTAAATTTTGAACAGCAAATCTGAAATTCTAAAAAAATTGAAGGCTTATGTTGAAGTAAAAATACCCTAGAATCTAAAACTGAAAATTACATGAAATTTAGTTTCAAAGGTAAATGAATCAGGAAACGGGACCGTGGTTAAGGACTTTTTTATGGTTTTGAAAAAAAAAATAAAATCCAAATTGTCACGGGAATTTCAAACATACTGAAGAGATAAAAATGGTCAAGAAAAAGTCTGCATCAGAATTTAGCCACACTGTAAACAACAAACACCAGACTGCCACAACAGTTTATCCTTTCATTTTCTAGTATTGCTACTTAAAAATATGTGATATAACATGTGATAACAGGAAATATCTGAAAAAAGTGCCTTTTCTGGAGCATTCCTGAAATTTTCCTAGTAGAGTAAAATAAAGACTGAAGATAACTGCAGAACAATCTTTAAATTTTCTCCACCTCCTTGTTTCCATGCCATGAGGAAGAGTGTAATAAGAATATGACAGTGTGTAAATCAGTAGAATTTGTTGCCTTGAGAATGAAAATGTTTTGAAACTTGTTATGGTCTTTTCTTGAAAAAGGTGCCATCACTAATGTCGTTTGCATCTTGTGCTAAATTATCATTGAAATCCATCTCACCATCTAAGAGCATTGTCCCAATTAAAGTGGCCTAAGTGTTACTTTCTGGCACAGGAATTGATGAGACTAGGAAAAGAAACTTTACAGGGGTCTGTATAGATTGTCACCAGAGACAGGTCAATGGGGATGGTGTGGAGAGAGCAGAAAGGACAGCAACAGGAGAAAGAATCAATGGAATCCAGGTAAATGCCACATTTCTTAATCTTGTAATGACAGACAATCTATTTTTACTTTCTTTAGATCATTACTGGGAATACCATCCACACCACATGCACAGTGAGTTTGAGACCTTTGGAGACAACCACTTCACAGAACTGCAGAGTGTGCAGCCTCCCCAGCTGCAGCAGCTCTACAGGCACATGGAGATTGAACAAATGCATGTCTTGGATTCTGCAATCCCAACCCCACACATCGGGCTCAACCATCAGGTATGGTTACCAACACTTACTCAGAATTTTGGATGATAGTTAATGTTAAGGAAAATAACGCATTAGAGGATGCATGTTCTTACGCAAAAGAGATTGCTGACATTTAATTACACAAATTCTTCCTGCACTTGGTGTAAGGCTCTTCATTCTTGGGACAAATGTGGTTTAAGCATTCTTTTTTCCTAGATAATGAGAAGTCATGCTCCTCAAACTGTCTAAAAAGATAACTGCATTTTGTGGAGGTGTTTGGAATTTCAAATTTTGGTTTAATTTGGAATGAAAATCAACCGGTTTGTAATTCTGCAGATGAACTGGACCTGAGAAGTTTTGCATTGTCATAGCAAGGGTACCTACAGCTTCTGAGAAGTATTGTAAGCCTTGAAGCAGTAGAAAAGTTTTAAATATTTCCAAGCAATCCTGACAGTTTTACGTGACTTGTATAAGAAATGTTAACAAAGACAAATCACTAGTAATTTTACCATAGGCTGAGAAGGACCTACTGGTACTTCTACATGGGAGTAAATAAGTCACAAGCCTAAACACGCTGCCCTGTCATTGCTCAGATTTTACTTGAAGCCAGTCATTTCCCTGTAAGAAGAAGAAATGTCATTATGCAGTAAAGAGTCACCAAAGTACTGGTGAATTCTCACTAACGCTGAAATGATAAGGGATTCCATCCTACTGCAAAGATACTGAGCACAGTGTGTGTTGAGATCACATTTAACTCTTGGTCCTACACGAATGTGCCCAAAGTAATTTCTGGGAGCTGTAGAAAGCTGAGTGATCTTGTGCTAAGAGTTTTCCAAGGCTGGCAAGGTACATACAATGCCCTAAATACAAGACAGAGTAGAACTGAAGTCAGAGAAAAAAGCATTTGCTGATTACAGTGCTGCATATAACAGTACCATTGCTGAAACTTCATGAGAGAAACTGCATGCATGGAGTTGTCATTTGGGGTTTCTTTGTTCAAAGCAAAATGAAATTGTGTATAAATATTGTATTAATCAGAAAGAAGAGAAAGATAGAGTAAGTTAACACTCTCAACAGGAAACTGACTGCAAGCCTTGAAAAAATCAGGAATAGAATATAAGATGTAGATCAAACAAAGAATTAGGAACAGAAAGTTACAAATATAAAAAATGCTTCATGGAACAGCAGTCTGTGGGAAGCTTCAAGTTGTTTCAGTTGCTCACTGCAACTGCTAATACTTAATGACCAACTATTATCTCTGGCCCAAGGGCAGAGGATGAAAATGAGCCCCTTTATGAATGTCTTTGGAAGCACAACAGAAAAAAAGAGGGGGTGCTTCTGCTTATCCCACTTCATTCTACTCAGCTATCATCTTTCATTTCAGGATGAAAGGCAGGGAACTAATTTTGTTACAACTTTTGATAAAGAGCAGTGTGTTGTCTCTCTGCCCCACCCACACAAAGCTGCAGATGTTAGTAGGTAGAATTCACCACTACCCTCCTTATCCTTACCAGCTGGGGGCCTTTGGCATTTTACTTTACTTTACTTTTTTTCCTACAGTAGCTCATGCAAATGGTACTTGGCATGCTCTGAGTTTCACCCTCCCTTGTGTCTCAGTCACAGTCCCAGGCAAAGAAACAGAAGCAGGAAGCAAGTTTTAATCCTCCACTGAATTTGTCAGTTACTAACTACACCCAAACTTGTCACGCAATATCAGAGTTAGAGTTTGCAAATAAAGGAAGAACATTCAAAGATATGTCTTCAATTTTCTGTTGATATCGCATTGTTTTGTGAAATCAAATTTGAGGCATAGGCTGCTCTTGAACGAGATTTCTTTTAAAAGTTTTGTTAGCCTGGCAACAGGGGTGTCACAAATAATAGTATAAGAAAAGAATATTAATTCTGGAGGGAGACTGAAAGAAAAGGTTGAAAACATTTGAGAAGAACTTTAGAAAGAGGAAAACCTCACATGAGTGCCACAGACTCTGAGACAACAACAAAACATGGAAAGTAGCTAGTAGATTCTTAAGTTTTCTCTCTCCAGAACTGTATTAGTAACCTGGCTCTTTCTAACACACTGGCATGTCCTTTGTGACTGTGTATAACATAACTGTGTAGTACTGTGTTGGCCTATGCTGAGTTTCAGGTGAAAAGTAAGTGTAAGCAAAAATACAACAGTTGAGAAAAGTGGGGGCAGCACGGGAAAAGCTTGCTTAACTCCCCAGGCAGGCCTCTGCAACCACCTTTGCCAACACTACTGTGCCCCTCCCTCTGCCATTGCACTCTCCCACCGTCCAACTCCATTGCCAGAAGGGCAGTTTCCTTACTCCCACACCACCTCCCAAAGCACTCCAGGTTTCCACAGCCTTTTTATCCTCAGGGGTACCAGTGCCTGTTCCCCTGCCCTATAAAACCCTGTCCCACCTTCTCATACCCCTTCCCCTATGGCACTCTCTCCCTTCCTTCCTACCCCTGAAGCTGCAGCTTTTTTAACTGTAAAAAGCTAAAGGTGACTCTGTGGTGAGGGCTGAAGTTTTGCTCTTGGGGATCTGGCAGGAAGCTTACACACACTCTTGCCCAATCCTGCTCTTCCTGCCCAATCCACTCCAGCCAATCTGCCAACTCATTAACCGCCAGCTGCTGCACCCCAAAACCAGCCCTTTGCACGTGCCTTATTGGGACATTTTAAGCTGGTGCAAAACTCATCAGAAAAGCACCACTCAGCAAACTCCAACATGGGGTGGGTGGTGTGACTCATGAACACCCTCTCCCCACTTCAGTGCCTGAAGTCCCAGGGGAAGGGCGTCAGGTTCAAGACATCCTTTCTCAGTGAAGGAAAAGAAAAGCAGTTCAAAAGAAGCTCACCTTCAAGGACTATTATCTGTACCATATCATGAGAACTACATTCTATATGCTGTCAGGTTTGAGGGATGTTGGTTGTTTTTTTTGTACTGAGGGAATTGGGTTCTTACTCTCTGGTCCTCAGACTGATCTGTTTCTCATTATTAAATAAGAAGCTGCCTCAATTCGTGACAACTGGTTGTGATCCCTGGCAAACCAGACCACAACTGAGAATTTACAGAGCTGAGGTATATTCCACACTGCTCCTAACAACACCTCTATATAAGGTCAAGAGAATTTAACACAAAAAAATTGGCTCGCCGGCTTTGCAGATGAGAAATCCCCATTAATGGGGAATTTTTAGATAGCCACTCAAGAAAACAGAATGTGAGCCAAAATGATGTATCCTTTATCTTAGTGTTAAGGCTATTCCCCTCCTCACAGGGGAAATTCAAGACAGAAAGCTGACAGACCTGTGTAACCCCATCTCCAGATTTGGATGCAGTCCTGTAGGGATTCAGTTCTGTCAGAAGGTGCTACGCCTCAGAAATGAAGAGAATGACAGAGCCAAAGCCAGTCATACTAAGGCAGAACTGTTCAGCTCTTTCGAATTTAGAAGAATAGCTCCAGAAGGTCTGTGTTAGAAAAAAAAATGTTCTCAAAAGCAGTTTTACTCTGGGGATAAGCAACAGGGATCAGAAAGGCATTGGGAAGAATGCAAGCTGTGGGGAGGTGTAGGGGAAGGGGGCAATATTATTTGCATAGGATATAAGATATGGGAAAGTTCTGACTTTAATAACCTTTTCCTCCTTCCCTCTTTTAAAGGTGCTTTATTTTGCGTGTGTAAGTGTTGACTGTTATCTGAAAGTGTTTCTTAATTGGATGGTATTTATTACAAATGTCAACAACTAATTATTACACTCATTATTACACTAAATACTCTCACATACCTCTTACTTTCTCCCCCCTTTTCTCCATAATTCTCTTCATTACATTGAATTCTGATGCTCAACTCTCTATCACTGCCTCCTCCCTCTACTACTCTGTTCTCCAAAAGATGTCCTATCTGCCCCGGATGTGCCTACAGTACTCCTCTCCACCTCAGCCCAGTTCTGATGAGGAGGACATGGAGAGGCAGAGCCCCCCATTGGAGGTATCAGATGGGGAGAATGATGGTGTGGACCCTGGACCTGGAATTATGCATGGAGAAACAGGTCAGTGAAAACAGAGGTACTTTGTCAAGCTGTGTGCTAAGCAGCTGTTATATTACAATGATGATAATTAATAAAACTGTAGAACTGCTGTGCTGGTGTTCTATATCCCACCGCCATGGGTTTCATTTCCCTTAGTCCTTGCACCCTTCTGTCTTCCTAATCTTTTACAGCCATAGTTGTGTTTATACCTCATTTCTTCACCTACTCCCACTCCCTCCTCCTGCTTTGCTTATTCAGGCTTCCTGAATTGAAATGACTTTTGCCATTTCTACTCCAAATTCCATTAAGAGATGGGAAAAACAAGGCAAGAAGGTCAAGCAAGCATTGATTTAAAAAAATATTTAGCTCTCTTTGCTCAGTACCTGAGAGTTACATTCTGTATAACCTATCAAAAATAGGGTTAGATTAGTGTCAAAATAGCAATGGTTTTCAATTAGCTTCTAATTAGAAAATTAATTTCAGAACAAGGGTTTGGCCTTTGGAATTACTTATTCTTGCTTTTTCTTCTTGGTACATCAATCCACATTATGTCCTCACAGTGTTACACGGTCTATTGTTATAAATGCTGCAAACTGAAGAAGTTACAAGCTAGCTGAAACAGTTATATACGTTCTGCTGTTCCACCAAGAACTACACACAAATAATAATGCTCCACTCTGTTTCTTCTTTGAATCTCGCACAGGCAGCAAGAAAAAGATACGTCTGTATCAGTTCCTTCTGGACCTTCTTCGCAGTGGGGACATGAAGGACAGCATCTGGTGGGTGGACAAGGAAAAAGGTACTTTCCAGTTCTCCTCCAAACACAAAGAAGCACTGGCACATCGCTGGGGCATCCAGAAAGGCAACCGCAAGAAAATGACCTACCAGAAGATGGCACGGGCTTTGAGAAACTATGGCAAGACGGGGGAGGTCAAGAAAGTTAAGAAGAAGCTGACCTACCAGTTTAGTGGAGAGGTGATGGGAAGGGGGGTCACTGATAGGAAGCATTATCCTCACTGAGGCCATGGGACCCTAAGCAGGAAAAATATTAAGACCTCCTGGCTGGATACCAGCAGAGGAGATGGACGCATCTTTCTCTTTGCTTCCTGTGCCCCCTTCTCTGCCTTTAAACAGCCTTTACCGTCAGATGTTTCTGGTACGAATTCCTTTCTTCAGCATCTGAGAATCCTAACCATGACAGAATTCTTTGCTTCCATCCTCCAAGTTGGACAGAGTTGGGAAATTTAAACAATGTACAAATATATTATTGTCAGGAAAGTTGTTTTTTTTTTTTTTTTGATTGTATTGTAACTAAAGAATACAGCCGATGAAGTTTTGCCTCCAAAGGTGGTGCTGTGTCACCCACAGTGACACCGCGATAGCTTTCAGCTTTCAAACTAGCATTAATACAGGCTCTGCCGCAGCTCTCAAGGCTAGAGAGAAGTTTGCAGATCTTGGAATGATACTCGTTCTTTTAAATAGTAATAACATGTACATATTTAATAAAATCAGATGTAATGAAGTTCTGGTATTTGCATAATAAATGATTACTTCACAAACAAATCTTGCTCATGTTTTTGCAGGTATAGGTCCTCTGTGATGTCTGAACAGAAGGCACGGAGGGTTATAGGGCCTTTTCCATCTGTTGCTACTTTTTAATTTACCTAGAAACACCATCAGTGTTGTCAAACTCAGTAAAAAATGTAATAGGTGAGATACATTACTGTGAAAGAGACTACAATACTAAAGTAAATTTAAATATATATATATATATTTGTCACTATTTTTTTCTGTGCAAACAAAACCCTGCCAGTTGAATACTTTCTATTCATGTACACCAAGAATGGCTAAAACACAACTATTAGCCATATTCTCCTGTGGTTTCAGTTATTTTCCTGCTCCTGTTGCTTCTTCTGGCTTTCCTCCACAGTGATATCTCGATTCTAGCTTATGAAACTTTCTTGGAATTAAGTTGCATTTAATCATGTCTTTGCAGAATTTTAGTTAAAAAGGGTTTCAAGATTTTAACTGTGGATTTTAGTTGCTGCTGTAAAACAACTAATAGTAATTAATAACAACTTCATTGTATAGATTACACTCAAAATGCAAAATAAAAGATAACTCAATACCTGAGATACCATGGTAAATTTACCCAGTACATCTAAACACAGAAATTAAATACAAAGTCAACCAAAACTAAGAAAATTAACATTTTAAATTTTAACATTATTTAACACATCTCAAGCACCCAAAAATCAGGAAAGCATCATGACTCTTCCAAAATATATGATGTGAAATGAGGCAGATCTAGAATGAAGAGAAGGGTTTTATTTAACAATATTGAAATGCAGTACATCATGCCTAATAAAACAATTTGGAAGTCATAAGTAAGTAACATAACTAATTAACTTGAAAATTTTCAGAGCTTGCTTTTTACTGAAACCAAAAATAGTTGGAAGTGATGAGCTTTTTACAGACCTGAATTCTCAAAACTATATCTAAACACAGTCAGTGTTATCTACACTAACAATCTTACTGTGGAAGTGAAAAGTCTGGTGACATCATTGGGCTACAGTGTCTCCTTGGAGCCAAACAGGAAGAAGTTCCTGCTTAAAAAATATCACAATATGCTACTTCCCAGTTCATGAACACAATAAACATGTCAGTCAACACCAAAAATTAACAGAGAGTTAAAAGCAAGTAATGGCTTCAGAATTTTTTCTATCCAAGACAAGAATAATAAATAGAAATTACCTTTCATACTTATAAAAAATCTTGCAATCCAAATTTTAATTACTGGAGGATCATGTATATTCTCCTAGTCAAATATTTTTCATTCACTTCGGGTTAAGTCAAATCTGTGAAACAAATTTAGAAGATATTTTTTTTCTAAAATTCCACTGGAAAAATTTACCTCCTAGAAACTTCATCTGCATGCATGCAGTTTTAGGATGGAAGCTGAAGACACTGAAGGCAGCTCTCAGGAAACTAGAACAACACTCAGCACTGACATAATAAGGGTTTCTTCAATCCTGAACTAGAAATTCAGGACTCTTCTGCTTGGTATTGATGATGACTCTCCACCAACAACTTGGAATTAGAAAGAGATAAAAGACAATTTACACTCATCAGACTTGCAGACTTGATATTTCAGAAAACTAGAGTAATAATTCCTCTCTTCATAAAAACGTCTTTATCACAAATGCAGCGTGAAAAGCAGAACTGATCCTTCTCTGACGCTATAATTCGGAGAAGGATCATTTCCTCTTGCAGGAAAACTATGATAACTGGAAAGTGCCAAATAGTGAGTTAATTGTGGAGATGCTTAGGATATCACAAAAGCAATTTCAAGCTTATCAGAAGCTTTCTAAGATCTATGAGAACTACTTTTCCATTTCCCTAGTAAGTCTTGCATAAAAACCAATTAGGTGCTGGATAAATAATATACAATTAAAATAAGTATTCAGACAGAAACAACAAGAACCTTTAAATGAGCGATTTCAGCACTGTGTATTAATATAAAATGTTAATTTAGAGCATCTACTTGTACTTGAATTAAAGAATTTGCATTTCACACTGCTTTTGACCACAACTAACGTGTAAATGGAAGAATCTGAGAAAAATATTTCGGGGGGCAGTATTATTTACAGTTAAAACATTTTGAATATAATGAATATACTTTAGCAAGCAGGTTTAAAATTTTCGTTATTTCCAAAGTTGGAAACTTTTTCTCTTCCTCTTGTTAATGCTTTGAAATACTGTTTCTAAAAATATTCACTCCCCATCTGTTTCTGGTTAGGTTTTTCATCTGTGGCACACAGAGTGAATAATCATGTGTTGCAGCTGTGAAGGAGAGCAAATCACGATGCTTTTCTGCCAAAGTACTGTTTGTATCCGATACAATCCAACCATTCGGGATAGTAGGCTGTCTAATCACGCTGAACTATTGCCATTCAGTTGCACATGCAAGCAGAAGCTCTTTGGCTGTTTTAGACAAAAATACTGTAATTAATGTGACAAAATCACAGGTTCTGCAAAATTACAGAGGAGGAAGCATTCCATTTTCTCTGAAGGTGGTGCCCTACCAGACTGGCACACATGTTGGAAAAGGTCAGTCAGGTTATCTGGAGAGATCACCCGTGATTAGCGTAAGTTCATTGGAACATTCTGCAGCCCACTGCTGTTAGAGACCATGAATCCTGTTTCAAAGAAAGTATTCCTACTACAGCTGGATATTCAACTTATATATGACCTTTGCAGCCTGCTTTAAAAACCATCTTTATTAGCTGCTGAGTGGTTCCTAATCAATTTTTGTGGAAAGGTTAGTCAGAAAACTATTGCTGACCTAAATCCAAAGTGCTGATTGTAAAATATTTTAGACTCCTTCCAGCCATAAATGAGAAGTGTAGATGGTAGAAAAATTGCACTGACTATACTGAGGGATAATCTGCTTGTAATAATTTACAGGGAGAGCATTTTTTTTGTAATTCTACTCAGTCAAAAAGGGTTTTAGACACTTCTAGATCTGAGCTACTACACACCTACATCAGAGAGAACTGCAATGAAAGGTGTTATTATTTGGTTTTGTCTGACAGCCCACATTTATCAAATCCTTCAAACTTCCTGAAAAATACATATATACATCTCTAATATGTCTACTGGGGTTTTTTGTCTCCTGCTACATGAAACTGTGTCTCTATACCCTCATTTCAAAATTCACACACTGACAGAGTCTTATAATCTGTATTTGTCTTCTCTTGTGATTACAACAGGGCTTACAGTCTGTATTTTGCAGGTTTCTTTTCCTCAGCAAACCTGCCTCAGTAATTTTTTTCTGTTTGTATCACTTCATCGCTACATCTTCCTTTTCTTTTTTTTTTTTTCCTCCCTCATTGGAATCTATGCACAAAAAAAATCATAATCATTGAGCTTAATTCCAACTATAGTGCCAACTTCATAAGTAGTACATATATCACATGACAGTTAAATTCAGTCTATTCATACCATTTCCCTAAATTTTACTTGTACTCTAACTGCACATTGTAAATTCATAGCAGAGAATTTATTACTGGTGACAATAAAATAAACATTTTTTCTCTGACAATGTCCGGAACAATATGTTCTCAATGGAAATCCCACTCTTAGGTATTTAAAATTTATGGATTGCTGATAGAAAAGACTGATGGCACAGACTTTGAACATCAATTCCAAAATTTGCATTTATTTCTAATTTTTTGTGCGTGTAAGTTGCTATCTCACCACATTTCCTTGTTCTAAGCAATACTCAAATCAGATTTACATAATTTTGCATACCCACATACCTAAAATACTGAAAATGTATGCTTGTAATAAAAAAGCTACTGTAATGAACCTACTGAATATACTACAGTCAAGTAGACAAAGAGCTTTAAAGCAACTGTAACAATAACTAAAACTTCATCAAGCTTCGCCTTTCCTCTTTAACAAATTTGCACGTTGCAGTTCAGTTGGCTTAGTTGAGCCTGCGGTAATAAGGAGGTCTGTATATAACCCAAATGATCAGAGTCCTGTTCAAGAGCTGGGGAATGTGAACTTCTCCCAGAGAACATGAAAACATCACTAGGCTGCAGATATTCTTTCTCATTTTCTCACTCATAACTCACCCGTGTCTGCCTTAGCCCAACGCCTCACATTAGACACAGAGTCACAGAGCAACTTAGGTTGGAAGGAACCTTTGAATGTCACGTCATCCAACCCCCTACCCAAAGCAGGCCAATTAGATCGGGTTTCTCAGGGCAACTTTCTCTGCATTCTGTGTTTCTTTCCATTCTCTCCACTCCTACAGCCACATCCTCCTTCTTCATGCCTTTAGTTCCCCACAGTGTTACTTTTTGCTGTTGGGAAGCCAAAGCAGTACGTGAGAATGAGCAGAGCAGTCTATGGACAGGAGGAGAATGAGGATGTGGTAGAGCAGATAAGGTTTAGCAGGAGGTGGTGGAGGACAAAGAAGGGTGGGAGGAGGTGTTGGGGATACCAAGGTTATGCAAAGGATTGGGGAAGCGGCTTTGTGGTAGGAAGGAATGCAGTTTCTGTGCTTTAAGGGCTCCCTCTGAGGTTCTGTTTTAACTCCCTAGCAGTAAGCAGCAGTGCTCTTGGTATGACAAGCCCTTTGGCGACTGGTGTCTTTGTGCAGAATGCTTAAAGTCCTCTGGCTATTCAAAGTAAAGAATGTTTGGGTGCTGAGCTGGGCATTTGTATATACAAATCAGTTCGGAGTTTTTTAGATTTAACTAACTAATTTTCTGAGTTTTGAGTGTCTGCTTTCAGAAACATAATTCTAGATGTCTTCTTTAGACATTCCCTCTTCCACTTTTGTCCGACTCACCAACACTGTACTTTTCTTCATCAGCCAGTCCAAGCTATCCATTCTGAGCTCTTTGTTCAGCTTTCCTCTATATCTACACTCAGCCACCAGATACCTCCATATTTAGTAGATCCCAGACCCTTTATCCTCAATGTCCATTTTCAACTTTTGCCCAGCTAGTCTTATTTCTTTCCTGTCAGGCCAACTTTTCTCACTTGTGCCTCCAGTCAGCTTCTCTTCATGCAAATGGTTCTCAGTTCCAATGCATTTGTTCAGCCATTTATAGTTTTCCCATCCCACATCCTCTTACAGTTTCAGACTTATCACCCACTGAGTCCTAATTTTCTTCCCTCCCCTGTTTCTATCCCAACTCCCCATGTAATATTCCTGTCCTTTGAGGATCTATTTCAAACCCTTTCCATAATGTGTAGTCTCAGTTTTCTCCTGCCCATCCAT